GGAGATGCAGAGAGCCCAGAGACATTTGAAAGGATGCTCGGCATCACTAGCCATCAGAGAAATACAGATCAAAACCACAATGAGGTACCACCTCACACCGGTCAGAATGGCTATCATAAACAGATGAACAAACAGCAGGTGCTGGCGAGGCTGTGGAGAAAAGGAAACACTAGTGCACTGTTGGTGGGAATGCAGACTGCTGCAGCCACTGTGGAAAGCGGTGTGGAATTTCCTCAAAAAGCTGAAAATGAAACTGCCTTTTGATCCAGTGATTCCCCTCCTGGGACTGTACCCTAAGAATTCCAAAACGCCAATTCAAAAGAACCTATGCACCCCCAATGTTCATAGCAGCGCAATTTACAATAGCCAATTGTTGGAAGCAACCTAAATGCCCATCAGTAGATGATTCAAAAACTTATGGTACATTTACACAATGGAATAGTACACAGCAGAAAGCAAAAAAGAACTACTACACTTCGCAACAGCATGGATGGAACTCTAGGACATTATGCTAAGCAAAATAAGTGAGGGGGCGAAAGACAGATACCATATGATCTCACCTATAAGCAGAACCTAACCAACAATACAAAGATGCGAGGAAAATAAGACCAGCAACACTGAAAGGAAAAGAAACCACCAGAGAGAAGAGGGAAGGAGGAAGGGGGCGGGGCGAAAGGAAGGGAAGGGGAAGTCAAGGAACATAGAGCAAGGACTCATAGACAAAATCAGAGGGGCAGAGATGAGGGAGAGAGGGAGGGAGGTGTCAAGGGAAAGTGGTGGGGGGTAGGCAGAGACAAATGTATTTGAAAAAATAAATAAATTTAAAAAATGAAAAAAGAAAAAAAGAAAAAAATATAGCAGTACAGTGTGATTATTCTTTTTGGATTGCGGGTTTCTTTGAGAATATGTGAAATGCTATGGCCTCTTTACCTCAAAAGACGTACTTACACACCAAATTTTTCCCTTGTTCAAGAAACTCTCCTAGGTCCCTGTGTCATAACCATGGATACACACTCTCTATATGTACAGGTTGAGAGCCCATGAATTAGATGATGTCCAGCTGATATGCTGTGCTCTAACCCAGCCTGAGAGAGAGAGAGAGAGAGAGTGCGGGGTGGCGGTGCTGGCTCAGGGAAACTAGAGACCTGTGTCTGGGCATAAACTACCCTGAAAATAAGGTCTGCTCCTTTACTAATTTGGAAACTTGTGCTCATCTTTCAGACATGCCCATAGCTACACCTTAAATTCACTTTTACTCTCTGCTTAGACAGGACCAATGGGAACAAGTTCTTTTGTACCATTTTGGGTAAGCATAAAAATAAACTAAGAAGCTAATGGTATTTGGAGTTGTCCCACTCTCACAGCTATTGCTCAGTTGTTATAGTAGCTGTTTGTTTTCTGTTCTGGCTGGTGAACACAGGTAGGAAAACAGAAATACTTCACACAAAATTGATGGAGCTAGGTGGGAAAGAAATCAACTCAGCTCACTGACTAAGAGTGACTCACACAGTCTAAACTGGGGCTATGACAGGTGGCAAGACATGAATAGGGAAATGGACTCAGTCAGGGAAAAGGAAAACACAAACCTCTAGGTGAAAAACCTGAGCATTTTGACTGCTGAACTGTTTGGAATTATTCTAACGTTTTTAATAGCTATTTTGACCTCTTTGGGCTTACATTTCTGCAGTAAGTGAGTCAGTTCTAACTCTACTACTGATTGGCCAAGGAGTCATGAACAAAGTTCTACATACCTCTGGTCCACAGTGTCCCTTTCTGTATGTTCAGAGAGTTTAGGACCAGCTTATCACCAAGGACATCTTCAACTCTGACAATTAGTATTTTAAGTCCTTTTGAGTGTTAGGTCTCCTTTCTCCTCATTTTGAGATTCAGAACAAAACACAACAGTGGTCCCCAGGAGCCACAGAAACAGAGCCTGATACACAGTGGGCATCACTAATACTTGTTGAGTGAGTAAAATTAAAATGATAGTAAGCTAAGACTTATTGAGCAGTTGCTATGTACCAAGATAAAGCTGAAATTTTTATTGGAGACCTGGAGAAGAAGGCCCTGTCTGATTTATCCTCATGCCCTTTAGATTGTTATCATGATCACAGAGCAAGTAATTGCTGGAGCTAAGATTCAAATTCAAGATGGTTAGCTATTCAATCCATGTTTTTAAATGGCTATACTCATGCAACATGTGCATCATAAATATTTACAGAAGTAAGCAGACTTGGGTTGGCAAGTAGGTTAAGCCATTTTTTTTCTCCTGGTCATTTTAGGACCTCATTAGGTAAGGCAGTGGTTTTTATATCACATCAACAAAATCAGAAGCCATAAAGGTAGAAGAAATGAGTTTAACTCTGGAATCTGAATTGTACTAGCTTTGTGAGTTTTAGGTAAGAATGTACATTCTCTGAGCTTCCATTTTTTCATCCATCAAGTAGGATGAATAACTGCAAAGTCACAGGGTTGTGGTGCACACATTAAAAATGCAAAAGTGAAAGCTTTAAGTATTGTCTTTCACAAATCAGAAGCTTGATCCAGAACTGAGATTAAGCTTTCATTTCCTGAAGATTAGAAAAAACAGGCCCTGAGAAAGTGGGAGTCAGGCAGCATAAATGCAGAGGGGACAAAGGTTTAAGGTGAAATAAGAAAGCTTAGGAAACATGAATGCGGTCCTGGAGAGAGGGTAGATAAATGAAGGAAAAGTATTTCTTCCCCGTCTTGCACCCACTTAGTTTCTCACATTCAGAGGTTGGTCTTTAGCAGGTCGAAGAGCTCATTATTTTTATCATTTCTCATCAAATTTTTTTTTGTTTCATGGACAATTCAAGTATCCAAATAATACAAAAGCTGAAACTTCTTCTTTTTGTCTGAAATTTATGTGTTGCCACCATATAAAACCAGAGATTCCATAACTTTCCAGCTCGAAGGGATCAGAAGAAGCCATAGGGCTTCCCTTTGGTGGAGGAAGTTTTGGTGTTAGATTTAATTTTGCTCACCAGTCAGTGTCTGGCACACAATAAGAGCTCTATAATTATTGCTTGAATAAATCAAAGTGTTACTTGGTTTTTCAGAACTAATTTTGCCAAAACAAAGATTACCATTTTTTCAACAATTTTGGCTGGTATCACATAGTTACAGCCACCAAACTTACCCCTCTAGGAGCCAGTGACAAAAGGCTGACAGACTGGCAAAAGACAGACATATTCATGGACAAGTAATAAGCAAACACAGATATTAAAGGCTCTCTGAAAACCAAGACATAAGTGCTTATTCCTTAGTCTTCACTCTCTCCTTTTGTGTACTTAGCATGAGCCTGGTGTTTCATAATACACATTTCTGACAGCATTTTCCATGAGTCTGCTTCCACAGAGATGTGTAAGTTAATTTAGTAAAAATGCAGACATTGATTCACAGGCTTACAGAATATAAGGCCTGTAAGAGCCTTTAGCTTCAACCACTTTATTGTGCTGAGCAAGGACCCTGTGGTCAAGAAAGAAGAGGGTAATTGTTCAAGACCACAGAGTCAGAAGCTAAGCTGAAACTTGAACCTAGGACTTCCATGGCCAGTATAGTTTCTTTTCTCTTCCATTGCCCATTGATATGTAAACCACTGATGTGAAGGGTATCTAACCCACATCCATGTATAAAGGCAGAATCAGAGACCTTGATTTGCTATTAATTTACTAACCAGGTTTTTTAATTTAGCATATGCAACTGCTATCCTGATGATATCCTATAAAAACAGGACTCTCCCTCATTTTTATGAGTTCTATATCTGCACTCTCCGATATCATACTCATTAGCCACATGTGGCTTTTGCATACATTTGAAAATGTTTAATAGAACTTTAAATGAGTTCCATATCTGCACTAATACAGTAGTCATTAGCCACATGTGGCTTCTGAGCACTTGAACTATGGCTAGTGTGAATGAGGAACTAAATATTAAATTGTATTTTGTTTTAATCCATTTAATGTGAATAGCCATGTGTGGATAATGCCTACCATATTGGGAAGCACAACTATAAAATGAGAACAAGGATCCCTGCCTTGTCTTCCTTCCATAATTGATAAAAATGGAGGGGGCAGAGTTCTATCAGTCTAAAATAGTGGAACAAGCTTCAGGTTCAGACAGACTTGACTTCAAACCTTGACTATACTACTCACTAGCTGTCTGCCCTTTAGTAAGCCCCTTTATAACTTGAAAACTTAGTTTCTTCATCTGTAAATTGTGGAGAGAGGTCCCTATCCTCATAGACTTTCAAGGTAAAACCACGTGAGATTGTCCAGTACAGGGCCTAGCATGGCAATGTGCTCAAGGTCTATGGATTGTTGGTTTTTTTCTCTTCTGTTATCAAAGCCATCAGTGATCCAGCTTCAAAGGTGGCCTTGAAGAAGAAGCACTCCTGAGGGAAAAAAAGGACACATAGTGAGAGGTGGGGTGGGGATTAAGAGTTAGAAGTGGAGACCCAGCCAGCAAAGTAAGAATACAAGCAGGTATGCACTAGAGAAACTCCTTGCAGCAAAGGAATGTCAAGGTTTGAGACAAATGAAGGACCTGAAGTTAGAAGTAATGAGACTTGAGTTATTAACTCCACTTGGAGCCTCAGTATCTTCATCATTAAAATGGTATAGAAGTATGCGGTGATGGTGGAAGGTAGTCACTAAAATACAAAATCTCTGAAGTTCCTCTGGCCTTCCAACTAACCCAGTCTGTGGCCCTCAAGGCTAGCAGCTCCCCTCACCCTTAAGGTTCAGCCTTACCATCAGGACCCAGAGTGGGCCTTACCAGCCCTAGCTCATTTTTCTATGAGCAAACTCTCCTTCCTAACTCTCTTTGGACTCAGTTGTGCAGTCCTCATAAAGCTCTGCCCCAATTTTATGCTCATCCAAATGCTCCTCACCCTTTTAAGCTTACCTTAAACACACTCTTTCATGAATCCTGGTCTGATCCACTAGATAAAATTATTATTCTCTATATTTTCTTGACAGCCTGTATTTTAAAGGAAGACAATGGGGAATGGCAGGTGCATAGAACTAGAGTTTGACCAGGACTTGAGGTAAGTTGTTTTACCTTGCAGGGTTTCAGTCTTTTCTCAATAGTAAAACAAGGTGGTAGCAACTATTTTTCCAGGGCTGTTATGGCAATTAAATTAGAGAAAAATGTGTCAGTGCTTTGTAATCTGTGAAGGGCAATACACATAGGAGAAATTAACAGACAAACTTTTATTCCACTTTGCTTATACCTCTAAGGAGCAATTACTTGTCTGCCATGTTTCAGACTCAGATATTGACCTGTCTGTCTCCCTTCTCAGATTTTGACCTCCTGAAGGTTCCAGAATGTATCTTAGTTATGTCAGTATCTTTAGCCTCCAGGGTAGTGCCTGGTACAGAGCAAACACAAAGTCAGCCTGCAAACAATACATTTAACTCATATGGAGCTGAACCTTCAGTAGCAATACTATTTTTTCTTGTTTTATTTATTTATTTATATAGTGTTTTTTTCCATTGCCATTTATCCCTCCTATACCCCCTCCTCTCTGCAATCACCACAGTGTTTTCCATGTCCATGAGTCCTTTTTCCTTTTTGCTTGATCCCTCTACCCTCTAATGCTCCCCCAGAACTGTCAGCCTGCTCTCTAGGAGTCACTTTCTAGTTTGCCCATTAGTTCAGTTTGTTCATTAGATTCTACATATAAGTGAAATCAAATAGTGTTGGGAAAATTGGAAAGATACATGCAGAAAAATAAAACTAGACCACATTCTTAACCACACACAAGAATAAATTCAAAATGAATTAAAGACTTAAATGTTAGACCTAAAACTGTAAAAATCCTGGAGGAAAACATAGGCAGTAAAATCTAAGACAGTGCTTGTAGCAATATTTTATCAGATATACGTCCCCCAGACAAGGGAAACAAAAGAAAAAATAAACAAATGGGACTACCTCAAACTAAAAAGTTTTTGCACAACAAAGGAAACCATCACAAAATAAAAAACAAACAAACACTGAATTGGAGAACATATCCACCGATACATCTGATAAGGGGTTGATATCCAAAATTTATAAAGAACTTATGAAACATAACACTAGGCAAAACAATCAAATTTAAAAATGAGCAATAATACTATTTTCATTTTATAATTCAGTCCTAGAAAAAATATTTTCTTCATGCATAAAAACTGCTAATGCTGCTAACTTTGTGTTGGTTGTCTGGAAGCTCAAGATACAGCAATTAATTATATTGGTATTAGTCACAATGATTTTTCTCACCCTCTCCTTGGTTTCCTTATTCTATTCATGACACACCTTGGATGGCAGGTATTTTTGTTGTAAGGAGTAGCAAATACTTTGTGAAACTGCACAATGATTTTGTACATGGGCTCTAGGGACAGACATACCTTGATTTAAATCATCTGCTATTTCCTGTCTTGGTTGCTTTGATCAAATTACTTCATTCCTTTGAGCCTCATTTTTCCTATAAAAGTAGGACAATAATGTGTACCTCAAAGAGATGCTATAAAATTTAATGAAGTAATGCACAGATCCTGGCACACCATAAGCACTGAGTAATCAATTGGTATGCCCATGTAAGACTTTTCTTCTTGTCTTTTCTCCAAGAGTTAGGTAAAAATGAACATACACATCCATGATTATATTTTACTCTTGCCGCTTCCTATTTCCGGAACTAGAGGCAAGGCCAGTGGCCACCCAACCCCACAAGAAGGCAGCACAGCAAGTTATATAACATGTCTCCTTAAGGACATTGAAGCAGGGGTAGACAAATTAAGCCATTTGGCCAAAGCTTGTAAACTAAGAATGGTTATTCAGTGTTTTAAGAAGAAGAATAAGAATAAATCACCTGTTACCTGCAAAGTCTAAAATATTTTCTATCTCACTCTTTACAGAAAAAGATTGCTGACCACTGACCTAGAGATTCAGCCATGGATACCTTTGCTCAAAGCAGAGAAAAGCACAATGTAGTATTAGAATGAGGATGTGAAGTTAAATGATGTGGATTCTTGTCTTACAGCCCAGAGACATTTTGAACTCAACTGGGATAATATATCTGACACTTAATGTAGGTGTAGCTTTCTTTCTTCCCCTTATTTGTTTATTGAAGTGCATACATTTTTATAAATATGGGGTTTCTATTTCAGGGAATGCTTAGTTTTGCTCTCTTCTACAATCCTTTCTCTTCAATTGGGCTAATCAGTACTATAATATCCTCTACCAGAGGAACACCTCATTAGACACCCAGTAAGAACTCAATATATACTTCCTTACTGTTTTTACTTGAAGTGCAGAAATGCCAGAAACATCTTCAAAGAGAGGTCCCCTTTTTGTTTTGGTGTCTCTTTCCTAGGTTACATTCATGAAATTTTAGAGTAGCTTGAATATCCTAAAAACAATAATTATTTCTGCCTTCAGTTACATGCTATCTTTACTTTCTCTCTAATCCAGAAACAATTTTGTAACACAAACAATATGGTCCCCCTCTCCCACATTCAGATAAGAACACTGAGGCTCAGATATTTACATCACTGTAATAGAGTCAAGCCCAATCCTGTTTATTCCCCATTTTTTCTTTATATTGTCCCTTAGTAAGTGGTTAAGAAAGCCTTCTTCGGGAAATAAGGTTATGGGAAGAGAAACAGTAGACCCATCATTCTATGACTTTAATTCCCTGGGTTTCTTTTTTAACTGGGAAATTTGGGGATGTCAGGTCAAAGAGAGAGCAGCCTTCTGGAAATAGGGATAACTATATTTTTCCCCACAGAGGGGGCTGAATAGGAAGACTAATGGATCCTCAGAATCATGTAAATAAGGAATATAAGCTCCTCCTATATGATCTGAACAATAATATCTGGTTTGCAATTTTCAAAAAGCTGGGTTGAACCTTAAAATTAGATAATAAATGTGAAAGGAAATTGTAAACTCTAAAGGGCTATATTATTGTGAAGATCTTATTCTTATACTCAGAAGAAGGACCTTGTTTTATGTGACACAAAAGATCTGTGCTAGAGCCATGTGTGATTCAATCTATCTTCCTGCACCTGAGCCTAATTCTCTTGCCAGTATCTTCACAGCAAACTCTATAACTAATGGCTGTCTGACAGGGGCATCCAACCTTTTGGCATCTCTGGGCCACATTGGAAGAAGAAGAGTTGTCTTGGACCACACATTAAATACACAAACACTAACGAAAACTGATGAGCAAAAAAGAGTTTTCAGTAATTTTGTGATTTTGTGTTGGGCCACATTCATAGCCACCCTGGGCTACATACAGGCCACAGGTTGGACATTCCTCCTAGAGTGTTAGGTGAGAAAAGAAAGAAGGTGAAGGTAGCCTCTGTAGATAGCATAAGCATTTCACCTTTTTTCCAAGGGAAGACCATCAACCCAGCAGGTAGATTCCTGTGTCCTTCTCACTTCCCTAATGTGGAATTATCATGTCTGCCTTCCATCATGGATGTAGGCAGCAGGAGTGCTGAGAATGTGGAAGAGGAAGAACACAAGTCATTTCAGTAAGAGAAGGAAGCTTCCGGACCATAATTAGTAATTTGTGGCTACCATTCAGATCACCTTGACAAACATTCCCTGAATTTCCTCTGGTCATATGGGTCATATGCCAGAATTGACCGTGAGTTGGCCCTGTCCTCCATGAACTTCCAGTCTTGTGGGCATAACTTTTTAGTTCAGCTGCAGCTTGAAAATTGCACAGAACATCTAAGTGCAACAGAGGTAGTGTGGTGGAACAGGTGAGAGAGAAACCTGCAGACACAGCTCCCCCATTCCTAGGGCTTATGCTGAACAAGATGCATTCAGTTTGAGGGGACTGTACTAATCATCAGGTCTGGAAACCACAGTAGTAATAATAATAATGTTTGTGCCAGTCACTAGACCAAGCATTTTTCACATATTAACTTTTTAATCCTCCCACCAAGTCTATGTAAATGGTATATATTGTTATGCCAATTTTCCAAATAAGGAAACTAAGACAGGTTGTCCTCAGAAGACTGCAAGGGAACTAAGTCATCTTGATTCTATAAATATTGAGCACCTACTATGAACTACACTCTATTCTGGTTCTGGAAATACAGAGGACCTTGGAAATATATAATCTGCTCAGACTATGGAAAAGTAGAAAAGTGAACAGACAGGCAGTCATCATTATGTATACAGTGCCTATTATATGCCAGACCCTATGATAAGCACTAATGTTAGATGATAAACAAAGAAGATAGTGTTACAACACAGAGTGACAAGGACCACAGCAGAGGTAAGCATTAGGGCTCTCAGGCTGGGGAGTGGTGGTGGGGGGGTCACAGAGGCCTTCCTGGAGAAAGTGGTTCTTTGGGAAATTGCTACTGCCCAGGTATTTGCAAGAGAACCTCTTTCCTAACTAAAGAGATAGATCTTCACCCTCCATTTCTCTGGCCCCTGGAAACTCACAGTTAATTTTATTCTCAGGGTTAGGTCAAGCTTGAGGGGCTTTCTGCCCACATGCAGGTCAGGGAATTCAGCCCCAGAAGCCTTCCTCTCAATTCCCCTCTCCTTAGCAAAAGGTACAATCTGTCCATCTGTTTTGCCTTAAAAATATCCTCCATGATCCCTAAGTAAAAAGGAAAGACTGGCATCTCACTGCAGCAACTGGCTCATTGTCTCCATGGGGAGTACCTTCAGACAGCTCTTGCCCGGAAGTTTTGTCTGCAGCATTTTTCTATCCTTTCATTATATTCATATTTATTACAAGGGCATAAGCGATGTCTGAGAGTCTGTCTGCTTAGCACAGCAGTAAGACTTATTTTATATTCAAGATGAAATTTGGGTTTTTTTACAAAATAATCTTCAGCAAGAATGTTTGTCTAAGTACAATATATACACATGGGTATGTAGGGAAGAGGGGGCTTTTGTACATGACTATACGCAGTAAACTGTGTTTTTGTAACCGTGTGTGTGTGTGTGTGTGTGTGTGTGTGTGTGTGCATGTGAACATGGGCTGGAAGAGCAGGATTTCAATGTCCATAATCTCACCCATAACCACTACATTCTTCTGGATTAAAGCTAAGCCACCATTCAATGTTAACTGAAACTAGAGAATCTTATAGAAAATGTCAAAAACCAAAACGTGGAATTTAGAATTAATGTGAAAGGCATTGGTAACCACTGACATTTCTTGAACAAGGTGGGATGTAGAAAGTGATGTTTTGGAAGATGGATTCCGAGAAATGAGGCAGAACCTTTGGACTAATTATCTGATTGTTTACTGTCCTGGTTCTTGAAATCCAAACAAAACAACAGGAAGCAAGTTGGGCTTTCCTGAGATCTAGGATCTTTCTTGAGGTCATAGTAGCCAGTTTTGTTGAAGTGTTGATATGGGAGGAGGATACAGGGTTTGACTTTTATGAATATCATAAATGAATTTGCTGCAGTTATCTGGAGGCTGACTGTTAAATCACTTGGCCTTTAGAAGCTTCAGTGAATTCTTACTTTATCTCCCTACTTTATTTAAGTATCTTTATGTCTCACTGTAGCTCAGTTTATTAGATATGCTCATTATTTAGCTAAATGTTTCTCTTTAGTTCTCTATGCTACTTTCTCCCTCCATAATATGCACACAAAATTCAATGCTAAAAGACATCAAAGGTGGTATGGATGGGCAGAGTCATGTTTATTTAAACAAATATGCACATATGTAGAGGTCTTTTCCTGGATATATTATGTATATGATTTTATAAATGTCTCATTTTACCCTCATATGAGAAAAAACAACTTCCTTTGTTTATTTAACATTTAAAAGATCATGGACTTTACCATAGGTCAATAACCATTGGAAAAAGCTTAATAGACTCAACTATATGAAAAAAAAATCTTCTGGATTGAAAAAAGTTGTCTAATAAGGACACTAATCCTTTATCTGTCATGTGAGTTGCAAATATGTTCCCATTTTATTGTATTTTGACTTTTATTTTCCTACCTTTTGTCAGAGAAAATATTTGCATAATCTTGGAGTGGAGGAGACCTTCTTAAAAAGACAGAAAATTCTAAAGCTATGAGGGAAAAGATAGGCATGTTTGACTACATTAAAGAAAAAAAGTTAAGGTTTTTATATTGTCTCTCTCCAGGCAAAAGAAATGCTTAGGAGGGGGAGCATGTTGAAACAAGGCAAAAAAATCAAGCAAAGAAAAAGAAGTATCAGATTAGCATTCAAGTAGGTACAGGAAGGGCAGTTTGACCTGAAGCTTGGGGTTGTAGCTAGAACTAGAAAGGAATGGAAGAAAGCCTGTCTGGGGAACAGTAGTGAAAAAGGCTGACTCATTGTTTAAATGAGAGTTTAGGGCTGGGAGAATGACCTTAATAGAGAAATCCAAGTCTTCATCTAATAGACTGAAGTACTGACAATAATAGGATAAGGGTGGGGGAAATCCAGACACTCCAGTGGTCTTGAGACCATATCCTTCCAGCGTAATGGCCTCTAAGGGTCTCTGAGAGTTTCCTCTAACTCTGCTCAGGAGCTTTACAAACCTAACCTGTCTCAGGGAATCCATTGAAGCCTTCCACCCTCACTCCCCATCTCAGGCTCCTTGGCCAGGTGCTCTTGACCCAGGTAATTTTTATGAACAGTTTGGCAGTTGAATGAGGAGAAACTTTTGGACCATTACAAGGGTTTTGCAAAATTAGTACCAGGTACTCACTGGCTGTGTGAACTTCAGCAAGTCATTTTCCTTCTCTGAGTTTAAGTTTCCTCATTTGAAAAAAAAAAAAAGGTTAATACTGCCTTCAAAGGTATTTCAAGGAATTAAGAAATCAGATGACTGACATATGTGAAGGGCTTCAGGGATTGTAGATACTAATAAAAACATAGGTGATTATTATGATGCTAAGTTAGGCAGATGAATAACCTGAAGTAAGACAGCCATGCCAAGCACTAACTTTACCCTACCCTTGGCATCTGCAAACCATTTTGAGTGGGTGAGGAGAGCCTGTGTA